AACTTTGGTGGATAGTTGTCTTATTGGCAATCAAACCACATCTTATCTTTATATAGAACACTATTTTTGTTTACTTCTATGAAATCATAATTCAATGGTTAATGTTTCACACTTGTAAAAAGTTTAATCTAACTGTCCTTTTTAATGCAGGAGTTTCATAAATAGGAATGAAAGAATATTTGGATACGCCAACGAGACAACAACCCAGCGAAACCAATAACCATGATGTCTGTCTTAGCTGCTTATTTCTAAGAATTGTGTTATTGATATCACGAATACAGTGAACGACTTAAAAACTATTCTTCAATAATTACATTATAATACGTTATTTTGATTGGCTAACAGCTAGCTATCTCGCGTCATTCTGAAATCAACCTTCATTTCAAAATGAAATGTAACATTGATGATTATACGAGCTTCCACAATAAAGTGCACAGGTAAATAAAAGAAAAACTTGATAGAAATCGTGTTTTCATGATCCTAGCAAAAACATGTAATTATAAGTATTGAATGCTTTTTTTAGTAATTTTATAGGGTTGTAAAAGCGTTGTAAAAGTGCTTCATACACAATGTACTTCGGTCAGACGAAGAAACTATGTACACCAGAGTGGATGTTTGTAATTTTACTAGGCCAAATCGGCCAGACGAAGAAATCCTGCACACCAGAGTGGATGTGTGTACTTTCACTAGACCTTATCTGTCTGACGAAGAAACCTTGTCTACCAGAGTGGATGTTAGTAATTTCCCTAGGCCTTATTGGTCAGACGATGAAACATTGTACGCCAGAGTGGAGGCTTGTACTTTGAATAGGCATGATCAGTCAGATGGAGGAACATTGTTGACTAGAGTTGATGCTTGTACTTTCATTCGGCCTTATTGGTCAGACGAAGAAAACTTGTACACCAGAGTGGAGGCTTGTACTTTGAATAGGCCTGATCAGTCAGATGGAGGAACATTGTTCACTAGAGTTGATGCTTGTACTTTCACTACGCCTTATTGGTCAGACGAAGAAAACTTGTACACCAGAGTGCACGTTGGTACTTTCAATAAATGTTATTGGTCAGACAAAGAAACCTTGTCCACCAGAGTGGATGTTTGTACTTTCACTAGGCCGTATCTGTCTGACGGAGAAACCTTGTACACCAGAGTTGGTGATAGTACGTTTACTAGGCTAAATCAGTCAGACGAAGGAACTTTGTCCGCCAGAGTGGATATTTGTCCTATCACTAGACCTTATCAGTCAGACGAATGAACCATGTCCACTAGAGTGGATGTTGGTACTTTTACTAGTCTTTATCGGTCAGACAAAGAAAACTTGTACAACAGAGTGCTTTCACTAGACCTTATCGGTCAGACGAAGAAAACTTGTACACCAGAGTAGACGTTTGGATTTGTACTTTCACTAGGCCTTATCAGTCAGACGAAGAAATCTTGTAACCGAGAGTTGATATTTTTGCTTTCACTAGGTCTTGTCGGTCAGACGATGGGACTGTATTCACCAGAGTGGGTGTTGTAACTTTCACTAGGCCTTATCAGTCAGACGAAGAAACCTTGTACACCAGAGTGGGTGATTGTACTTTCACTAGGCCTTATCAGTCAGACGATTGAATCTTGTACACCAGATTTGATATTTTTGCTTTCTCTAGGTCTTGAAATTCAGACGATGAACTGTATTCACCAGAGTGGGTGTTTGTACTTTAACTAGGCCTTATCACTCAGATGAGGGAACCTTGTGCACTTGAGTGGATGCTTATACTTTCACTAGGCCTTATTAGTCAGACGAAGAAACCTTGTACACCAGAGTGGGTGATTGTACTTTCACTTGGCCTTATCAGTCAGACGATGTAACTTTGTTCACTAGAGTTGCTGCGTATACTTTTACTAGGCCTTATCAGTCAGACGAAGAAACCTTGTACACCAGAGTGGATGATTGTACTTTCACTCGGCCTTATCAGTCAGACGATGGAATCTTCTACACCAGATTTGATATCTTTGCTTTCTCTAGGTCTTGAAATTCAGACGATGGAACTGGATTCACCGGAGTGGGTGTTTGTATTTCACTAGGCCTTATCACTCAGATGAGGGAACCTTGTACACTTGAGTGGATGCTTGTACTTTCACTAGGCCTTATCAGTCAGACGAAGAAACCTTGTACACTAGAGCGGGTGATTGTACTTTCACTAGGCCTTATCAGTCAGACGATGGAACTTTGTTCACTAGAGTTTATGCTTGTACTTTCACTAGGCATTGTCATATATTGTCATACAAAGGAAGCTTGTTCATCACAGTGGATGATTGTATTTTCACTAGGCCTTATCAGTCAGACGATGGAACCTTATACACCAGAGTGGATGCTTGTATGTTCACTAGGCCTTATCAGTCGGACGATGGAACCTTATACACCAGAGTGGATGCTTGTACTTTCACTTGGTCATATCAGTCAGACGATGGAACCTTATTCACCAGAGTGGATGCTTGTACTTTCACTAGGCCTCATCAGTCAGACGATGGAACCTTATACACCAGAGTGGATGCTTGTACGTTCACTAGGCCTCCTCAGTCAGACGATGGAACCTTATACACCAGAGTGGATGCTTGTACTTTCACTAGGCCTCATCAGTCAGACGATCGAACTGTATACACCAATGTGGATGATTGTACTTTCACTAAGTCTGATCAGTCAAGCAATCAAGCAGACAGTGGAAAACTGTACACCAGAGTAGATACTTGTACTTTAGCTAGGCTATATCAGTCAATCAATTCATCAGACAATGGACCACTGTACACCAGAGTAGATACTTGTACTTTTACATGGACTGATCAGTCTATAAAATCAGCAGACAGTGGAACACTGTACACCAGAATAGATACTTGTGCTTTCACTTGGCCTGATCAGTCAATCAATTCAGCAGACAGTGGAACACTGTACACCACAGTAGATACTTGTACTTTAGCTGGGCTATATCAGTCAATCAATTAATCAGACAGTGGACCACTGTACACCATAGAAGATACTTGTACTTTTACATGGACTGATCAGTCTATAAAATCAGCAGACAGTGAAACACTGTACACAAGCGTAGATACTTGTACTTTCACTTGGTCTGATCAGTCAATCAATTTCAGCAGACAATGGAACACTGTACACCAGAGTAGATACTTGTACTTTCACTAGGCCTGATCAGTCAATTCAGCAGACAGTGGACCACTGTACACCAGAGTAGATAATTGTACTTTCTATATTTTAGTCACATGATTTTTCTATTAGTTGTTATTGGCTTTGAACTACACAAATGTAGCTTTTTGTAACTGTGAATATTCTCATATCAGTATTATCTGTACTTTTTGTCTTTCGTGTTTTTGTTATTTGTTTTTTTGCTTTGTATCGACCTGATGAGTTGAATCCTTTTCAACTGATTTTTATAGTTTGTCCTTATGTTGTGTTGTTACACCACTGTCCCAATTCAGGGCAGGGTTGGCGCGCCCGCAAACATGTTTAACCATGCCACATTCTGTATGTGCCTATCCCAAGTCAGGAGCCTTGTAATTCATTAGTTGTTGTTTAATTCTGCTTATCTATGTTTTTAGTTTTTTTTACATAAACGAGGTCATTAGTTTCTTGTTTGAATTGTTTTACATTTGTCATTTCAGAGCCTTGAATAGCTTGCATTGAACCTTGTACATCAGAATAAATAATTAACAAGAATGTGTCCATAGTACACGGACACCCCACTCGCACTATCATTTTCTATGTTCAGTGGACTGTGAAATTGGGGTCAAAACTCTAACTTGGCATTTAAATTAGAAAGATCATACCATAGGGAACATGTGTACTAAGTTTCAAGTTGATTGGACTTCAACTATATCAAAAACTACCTTGACCAAAAACTTTAACCTGAAGGGGGACAGACGGACGAACGGACGCACAGACCGAAAAACATAATGCCCCTCTACTATCGTAGGTGAGGCATAAAAATAATGAGATATGGTATGATTGCCAATGAGACAACTTCCAGCAATATTCATATGAAGTGGATGTTAGCAATTATAGTCAACCGTACAGCCTTCAACAATGAGAAAAATCCATACAGTATAGTCGGCTATAAAAGACCCTGAATCAGAGCTGGTTCTCATGTTTTTTCACAAGGTTTGATCAGCCAAAAAAATCCAGACTTGTTGTCCTCAGAGTATGGTATATATGAAATATTTGCCATAACAATCAATAATTTAGATAGGTTTTTATGTATTTTGTAATCTGGTGCATTTGATGAATTTGTTGAATTGAAAGCCCTGTAGAAAAGAAATTTGTTTCAATTAAAGTGAATGTAAATTAACCTGTATAAACCAAATATCCATCTTTTTCAAGCAAAATCTTCAGCCCAAAATGGGTTTAGATCAGACAGGTTTTTTCTTGTCCTAAATATACATGATATACATATATTTACCATTTGACATAAAGCAAATAACAATATCACCCTATCTGGACACATTATTTCGACTCCAAATTGATCAGTCTTTGCAGTTACTCTTAAATGTTCAGTGCAGAAGCAGCAAATACCAATTTTCAAATCTTTGATTTAATCGCTCCCCAAGCCGAACAGTCTTTGCTCTTAATCCTAAATGCAGCAAAAAAAGCAGTAAATGACAATTTTCTTTGGTTTGACCCTGGCAGGGATTGTGCCCATGACCTCAACAATGGAGGGGAGCAGGACACCACCATGGCTGTAATCACAAATAAGTCTTCAAGATGGCAGATATCAGATGGAAGAAGGCCAACATAAACCAAGTGATGGCAACAGCTTAATATATAAGCCAGAGGAGCCAAAACAAATCTTAAAATGCCAAATTGTAAACTGCCTCACTGCTCTCAATCAATTTCAACCCCCTCCTTCAGCTCCCCAATGCCCAACCCTTATTCATACTGTATCCTCAGCTAGGATAATCTCTAACCTCTTTAACATCTTTATCAATATATGGCAAACAAATTAAACACATGTAAATGGAGACATCTGCTGATTTATTTCAGATATAAACAGTCACGAACTCTGTCATTGTCATAGTAATAGCAAAAGACCATTTGACCTTCAACAACCAATCAAAACTAATAATAAAGGATCATGTGGTTAAAAGAAATCTTTACATTTCAAAGTTTATCAGGATGACTTCTTCAAGTTAAAATTGGTCAAAAGTAAAAGATGTGTGTGTCAAAAGTTCTATTTGTGTTTGCATACTATATGGCACTCTTAACCTTTGTTGAAGGTCAGAAGGTCAAATGCATAAAATTAAAATTGTCTTGAGCAAAGGTAACATTGCACAATCTTTCTGAATGCCACTGGCAAGGAAAAATCTATTACAAAATTTAAATATATTCAAAAAATGGCCAAAAGTAGGTTTAATTTTAGTTGAATTATGAGATTTACATCATTCTAATGAAAATTGATTTTTCATTTCTACAACTCTGAACTAAAAATACAACGACCTGAACCATGCACATCTAGTGCTTTGTAAAATGAACAAAATATCAAAATACAAAAACATATACAGAAATCTGAATATATGGAAGTAAATATTTGAAAACATAGGTATCGAACCTCTAATAAGTATCTTTTGGCCGAATTAATTACAAAAAGATTATATGTAAAAAAATTTAAGTAGCATTGCCAGGGAACGTGGTTTGGAAATTTCCACGATAAAAAAAACACCATGTAACCATGGTGACCTGCAGTGGATGTTTTACAATAAAATTACCATGTAACCATCACACATCTACAATTTACAATCACACAGCTAAATAATTTAGTCTCTGACCAGAGAATCAACAACTAACTATACAGAACTACTGATAAAATTTTGGTTGTGTACAGACAATAAGCTGCATAAATATAATGCCCTAGAAAAGAAAAGGGAACGAAACATATATAATGTGTTTAAATATGAATTCAGGACCCAAGTGTTGAGTTGAAATTACAAGTTTTCCTACACCTATGTTGCATCCAAAATCCCTTTTGTTCATTGTAAAATGCATATTTTGGGGGTATAATAGTGTAGACTTATATAAATCAACCTTTTGTATTTATCTATTTGTTTTGAAATTGTTAGAATCTTTTGTGAAAAGTTCAAACTTGAATTGTTAACAAGTGTATAAATATACTGTCTGTACACATCCAAATTCAATTGTTACTATAAATAGATTTCCTATTTACATGATATTTTAGACTATATATAAAAGAGGTCGAGGAATTTATTTATTTAATGTTTTGATTGGTTAATTCATTAATTCACAAATCATCTGATTTACATAAATTTTATCTTAATTCACTTATTGAATAATTATAAACAAATTATCACAGGCTTCTAACTATTTTACCCATAAAACTGTACGCTTCTAATTTGTATAGTCACTTGTCTTATCATAAAAACTATTATTAAGTTGTATAGTCAATTGTCTTTATTACAAAAACCTAAGTTACTAAGTTAGATTATTTTGATAAAAGCTAAAAATGGTGTGAAGCTGATCTCAATATTTATAAAAATGAAAAGATTCCAAAAAAATTAACTTTTATTACCACTGCATTATTCTTTTTTATGGTTTTAAAATATTTTAGAAATAAATCATTTCTAATTTTATACAAAAGTGGTGATCTTTCATTGGAAAAATGTTAATCTCTACTTGATGGAGCCAATTAAAGTCCAAATTTCAAAATACTTTCAAAACATCCAATATGTGTTACTTCAAATTATGTTAGCATTGACATTAGAATCTATTTTTATAGTAAGATATCAATTAAATATTGCTTGGTAATTAGACAATTAGTAAATTATTATAGACATCATCAGATAATTATATTTATAAAAAAAGTCCTAAATATTGCACAGATATATTGTTAATTCTACCTTAACCAAAAATTTAAATAAGAAATAATTAAAAAAAAGAAAATCGATAAAACAAAAGGAAAAAAGTCTTGAATATATGATATTGCTTTCATTTTTACCCTGTTTCAAGAATATTTCTGTTAGTTCGATGAAAATGACATGTTATTATCAACTAAAAACAAAGAACACAATTTTTTAAATCAGTTAGATATAAAAAAAAAAAAGACAACAGAAAAGCTTTGTTCATGAAAAATATTCTGAGTATTACTGATCTAAATACTGTTATAAGCTACACTGGAACTATCTACCCTTCACAACACGATAGTTCCTAGAACATGTTTGCAGTAAGAGTTATTTCCCTTGAGAAGAGCTAAGAAAGACAAGTACTGAACTGTGTAAAGTAGATTTAAATATCAAAATGAATTTTATTTATTTATTTCTATGAAAAACATGAAATTTTACTACACACTACTTTAAATGAATTATCATTTTGAATAAAATAATGAAAACAATACTGTTAACTGAAGCACTTCCTTTGTCAAATTCTCCCAAAATATTGTTCATTTTCTCCTAACCTAATTATCTGCTTTGTCTAAATAAGACATAGCCAGTACCCATTTTTCAGAAGTAAAAAATAAAAAAAACATAACTATATTCTATAACCAAACATATTCCTCTCCCATGAAAAAGAAATCACCTTGTAACCAACACTACAAACAAAAAATGGGGCACCAAAAGGGATGATCAAATTCTGCTTAATCCCACTTTTCATTAAACACAGTTAACATAAACCCTGTGTAGGAATTGTTTTCCAATATGCATAAAAGAGGTCCAACAATATTTAACAGTGTCACATGAAAAGTAGCTTATTGCTGTTTGTCAGAAAAAAAACTTCATTGTAAACATAAAATATGACTAAAATTATATGCAACTAAACATGAATCTACAACTTAGTATGGATTTCATATATTGAGGCCCTAGAAGGGATATAAATACTGAGTAATACAAAAAGCTTATAAACCCTGCTTTAGGGACCCCACCAATGGCAATTTCTTTCTCTTGAGACAGAAAACAAACAAAAACTGTAAGATTTTGGGGTCCAACAAGGGATAAATATACAAAATAATAATACATAATTTGATTATATTACAAGCGATGTCAATCACCTTATGTTGACCTCAATGAGCAAAATAAATAATAAAGCAAAAAATGAAAAAAATCCTCTACAAAACATAATATTGCTTCTATTTGAAAACAATTTCATTATGGAGAGTTCCATCAATTCAATTCTATTATCTAAATATTCTTTTCATGAAAAAAGTATAAAAAGACATGTAACACATTTAATATTTACAGGAAATTTCAGCTCTCTTAACAATACGTCTTTTTTTGTTTGTTCTTGATATGAGAAAAAACTCTTTGTAAATTGGCAGAAAAAAAATTACAGCAATATTAAAGATTTTTGATATCACAATAACTGTAAATTCAATTCGATATTTGTCAAAGGGAGGTAATCGTCATTTCTCACAATTACAATAAAGACATAAAATAAATTGGTTATTGTGAAGACAGCTGAAATTCATTTCACACAAAACACTTACACAGCACTATATATGGTTGCCTCCATTTTACAATTTAAACAAAACAACAAATTGTAAACAACATTTGCATAAAAAGTTTGATGTTTTTTCGTCAACACATATAATAAGAACAATTAACAATAATAGCATTGGAAATTATTACAAGTGGAATGTCATTGAAAAAAATGTCAATTTCAAAGCATTTGTTCGAAGGGAATACTTCAAAAATGTACAAAAAATGGGGACCATTTAAAAAAATGATGAGATGTTTAAATTGGTCCAGTTGATCATCACGTTACAAGCTGGAATTTCAAACTCCTGACTCCTTACAATTTTACATTGTTGATTCAAAAAAAGATAATTAATAAATATTAGATTAAAATCTAATTATTTAAGGAATTTTCAATTACTTTTTGCACAACCAAAACAGAGTATATAATTAACACAGATACACAAGTTGCATATTTAAAAGATGAAAAGTATTCGTTGTCATGGTTTCGGATTTATAATAAATGAGTTTTCGATCTACCAAATTTTTTGTTTCCTATTTCAAACTCCTCCCTGGTAAACAATCTAATTTTTAAAACAAAATTAAAACTAAATAAATTTTTATTCATATTGGTACAGAACACATTGAAATTTTCAAATTTGATTGAATACTTTATAAAATCTAGATTATATTTTTTTGTGTATGGTACAAGAGGCAAGCTGTAATTTACAGCTCCTCGTGTGATTAAAAATTTACATTTTGAATAAAAAAACAAAACAAAATCCCTGAATTGTTCTGATTATTTGAAGAATTGCACACAGTTTGTATTACAACTCTTAAGCAATTCCTCACTACATCAATGCATAAAACATGATCGAGGATCTGTGCAATCATTAAAATTAAAAGGCATAATAATTGTTCGTTTGAATATAGATATGCCCCTGCAGTGAAGATATGTTGAAGAAATGATTGGACGGAAAAAGAGCTAATCAAAACTCTTTACTAATTATGTAATATCAACAACAAATTATGAGACTATTTCTAAGGTAGCTCACTTGAACATTTATTTTTTTCAATTTTCATCTCCCCAGCTTTTGTTTTTGTTCTGAGATAAAAAAAAATAATTATTAAATCAAGAGTAATATATTCAAATCATTTTTAATTCTGTCTAATTACGAAGAAAAAACAAAGAATATTTATTTGGAAGATGTGTTTAGAGCATGGTTTCCAAATTAGTTGTATTGTCAAGGCAAGTCTGGGAAATTAATTTCTCAACCTGTTGCTGGTTTTGCGTACTTCAAAAACTTTTTACTGGTACTGGTCTAAAAAAAATAAACATTCAAGGAATAACAGTGAGACAAAAAAAAATAACATGATCTTAATATGAAAACTAAGCTAATTAAACAAGGATTGTGATTGGCTATTGAAAATTGTGTCAATTTAGTGAATTTATCTATCTACTACATATCTTACATTAAGTGATGATGAAACATTATGCATATTTCTTAATTTTTTTTAACTGTATTTTTTGTTTCTTTAAATCTAATGTGTAAGTGGATGGTTCTCTTATGTGTTTTAAAATTCTTAAAAAAAAAGGTATGCTTTTTGACAAGTAATATTTTGTATTGCAAACTGCATTTAAAGTAATCACTAAATAAACTATTCTAAAAATAGACCATCAAAACCAACCAAGTCACCTTTTAAAAGTTATCTTTTGGTCATGTTGGAAGTATTCATGTGATAGTCTTTAGTGCTGATATGGTGTAAAGCAAACAAATTAATGAACCAGTTGATCAGAAATACAATAGTTTCTGAACATCCAATCTGAGTGTGTTATGCATATAAATATGTGAATAAAAGGAAATGTGGGATACATGTCAATGAGACAGCAACCCATCATATCTTGTTTTCGATTTCTTAGCCAATCACAATCCTTAAATTCATAGCTAAACACTAATCAAATAAACCAATAATCAATACACAATATTCAATATCAACATAAAAACCAGAAAAAATGGTTTCAACAAATTTCATGCATATTTTATATAAATAGCTAAATCACTATATATAGATATATACTTATTATAATATACAAAAAAAATCACTGAACTATTCATTAACAACCATTGAATTAACAAATAAATAAGTTATCTCCCCTTTATTAAGGGAAATTGTTATCAGTTCAGTCTCCTTGGTTACCATGAAGATGTCCAATCATTAAGCAGAATAGTGTGTCCATGGTGACCAATGAGATCATAACACTGAGGTGGGTGAAATGGTGGTATGACCAGGTACCATAGGAACCTCTTGATTTTTACCCTGAAAACAATATGATATTTCTATTTACTATAGCTGCCATATATAAAAGATGAAAAGGTAAAATTGTACTACGCACTTTAGCCCTCATTACACTGCACCAGTTCCTGATCCTGTCCACACAGACAGGAACTCATGAATGAACTAGAGTGATTACATTCTTCCTGAAGGCACAAAACCAGATAGTAAGATTGGAAAGAAAATACTGTAAATTAAGAAATTTTCACAAGTTTATTTAATTGACACAGGAAAAGTTTTGTAAAATCTAAATATAGCTTTTCAAATTTTTGAAGCATTATTTGAATGCAGCATTCATGAAATCGCAATAACTAATCTCACATTTCTGAAAAAAATTGCAATAATAAATGCCTACAAAAATTTCTGAATTTACAGTACATAACAATAGCAAACTGTTGAGATTTTCATGTGATTTTCCAATTCATAAACTGTAAAGTTTGAGATGTTATTTCTGTTGACATTTTGTGGTATACAATTTCAGTGTTATTTCTTGAAGTAAGTTGTCTGTCAATTGTTTTCGGATTTACAATAGGAAATATGTTATTTTCTTGTCAAGTTAGTCCATTTATAAGAACCTTTTTATAAATTTAAATGTATACATGAGAATAAAAACAAATATTGCTTTGTGCGTCTGCCCATGCTTTAATGTTACTGCATAGTGAAAAACAAAGGTAGGAAAATAGAAACAAAATCTACATATAGTTTTGAAATGTTCTATATGATTTGTTATCAGCTTTATGAGATGTTTTCATTAATCTGATTGGCAGTGCTGTATCCAATCACCTACTCATGCAGTGATCATGTGATTTACACTACTGGGGTCAAAAAAGGGGAGACAATGTGATACACAACATACTAAATTATATGTGCTGATAAAAATAACTGAATAAACACATAATAAAAGTCATTTTTGGTTGACCAAAATACTTATAGAAAAAAACATTTGCACATGCTAAAATATTTTGATATCCTAATCTGGTATTTTTGTTGTTTATAAAATGGTTCTTACTCCATCTATTGATGCATTGAGATCTTAATACTTCTCATGATTTCTTTTTAAAATTTGGTCATATATGATAGCAATGCAACAAAGAAAAGACAGAGAATTTAAAATATATGAAACAATTAAATTCTGATTGGCATAATCTAGTAGAAAATATTATTGAAACACATGACCTGGTTCTTTCTCTTAAAGTTGCAGTATAAAATGGTATAATGGAAAATACTTTTTTTCAAATTTTTGAATTACTTCCCTTTTAACAGTAAAGTGAAGGAAGATTGTCAATATAATGGTCTGAAATGTATTGGAGAAGTGAAAACTAATTCCCAAAGGCTTTTGATAAATGATAGAAAGTTGGAAAGATATTTTGGTAGACTTATCCTCAATTTAAAAAATTCCGGGCAATTATTTACTCTTTTTAAATTACAAAAAATTCTGAGCAACTATAAAAAGAACAACCAACACAGCTTTTGACACCATCTGCAAAGAAAGAAAAGGGGCGCTATAATATCTATAAAAAGTTGGTGAAACATGCTGCAGAAAGCTATGATCTGTTTGTGAACTGCATAAAAATGTGAAGCTACTCTGTTATATAGAATATAAAATTCAAATTTCCTTTTAGTTACACCAAGGAAATAACAAGATTTTATTAGTAGATCATGTGCATTGTTGAAAGAGAAAGAAAAAAAAACATGTCCCTCATTCAGGTGTTGATTGGACTTTTTTTATCTACTAAAATTTTCTGACTTTTACCAAGTTTATCTCCAAGTTACTCCCCTTTGTAAATTGTCTCCCCTTTTTTGACTCCATTTTCTAGCTACAGCCAGAGGATTTATAAATTTTTCTTACTTGTTTAATTGGGTTGTTACCATAGTAACAGTGTTAAAGTCCACTCACCACCTCACCCATCTTATTTTTTGCATATTCAATACGGATTCCTCCTCTGTCAGAGGAGAGAAGAACAAAACCCTGTAGTCTATTCAATGCTTCTGTTGCTTGTTTTAAATCCTGGAATAAAATGTAAATTAATTTTTTATTGGGCCTCTCAATACTCTTTTCTGTCTGACCCATTTAAGATGACCGAAGGGCACTGTATTCTGTCAATTTGTTCCTGTTTCATAAATGCCTTTAAATTAACATTAAAGCTGTTTCAGTCAATCTGAATCTTGATCCATATTTTCTGCAGAATTTTTCAGGATCTCTAGAATCCAAAATAGACCGTTATATCAGTCAACTTAAATGTTGACTGACTGCAACAGGAAAGCTTTGGTTTCAGGAAAAGGGATGTGTGTGGCATTTTTTTGCGGGAACTAAGGGCATATACAAATATCTTGAAAATTTAATCACTTTTATCCACCATGTGGTTAATGTATTTGTTGTGATATTTTGACAGAGCAAATGATCTGAATCCTCTGGTTGGAGAAATCTAGCATGTGACATGATAAACTGGCAATGTGATCTAATTTAAATGTCATGTGATAAAATATGCAAATAAGAGCACATATAGGGGAAGATAACAGATTTCTGAAAAAAGTGTGTAAAAAGGCACTGAATATTTGTGATGACAGAAATAGGCAAAAAAACAATTATCTAATGCTTGTTAACACGCTACAGTGCAAAGGAAGGGAACTTTTACAGCCAGACAAAAATAAATATGCAGTGATGCTAAGAATATATAGGCACCAAACAAATCCTCCTGTCGATGCTGAGTGACAAATATAGATGACATGCTAGGTTGTGAATAACATTGATACAATTTATAAAGTAAATGGCAAAATAGCACAATTTACTTTTGACTTAAACAAGGTTGAAATCTTTATAATTTATATGTATTTTTTTTTCAATTTCTGTACAAGCTTTTTTACTTACTATTTCCTGTTTTTGAAATTTGCTTTGAGCATAAACTGTATTGCAGAATTCTACTAAATTCACTATAATGAATGATTTTTTTTTTCGTAGGTAATGGACTTAGGGAACTGTGTTAATTCAAATATCTGTAATTGTTTTGTTTTTTACATCTTTACTAAGCATCTGGTGTCCATATTTTGAAAATGTAGAACTTTTTTTTCAATGTGTTTGTGATATGGCATTAACAAGCTTCAATCTTTATGTTTGCTGCTAGTTCAAAGATGTGTACAAATATGTCAGTATGTTCATGACTTTCATGGACCAGAACTTACAGCATTTACAGTTCTTTGATTTTCTTTATCTTACCTGAAACTCTACAAATGCCACTGGTGAACCTCCTTTATTATGCATTCTTAGCCGGTTGAAACCCTGAAAACTACAAGAAAAAAACAAACTTTTAAATATATTGGAAAAAAAAGCCAAATCTAGGTAAAATTGCATAACAAATCTTCATGTTTGGTCCCACTAACAAATGACACAACAATCCACCAAAGCGACTATATTTTTTGTGAGGAAATAATTTTATTCATCAAGGTTTGATTCTAGTAGCTAGTAGTCCTACAACATTATAACCTTATGGATGATGAATTTGCTTTTACATTTCCATTCTTCAATGAATAACAGGAGATTTTGGGTATATGAAAATGGGACAGCAACCCAAAGAACACAAAAACCCAAAGGTCGTCACATTTATTTTTCTAAATCTTTTGAGTTCACTTGGATTTTTATTGTTTAGTTTCCTTCGTAGTGTTGTGAATCTTTCAGAGTTTTATTTCTTCAACCATCTTCAATCTTACCACTGTTCCAAACAGTGTTCAAAACTGACTATACTGTATAAGAATTATATAGACTTTTTATCGTGATGAAATCCTTATTTCAACAATACATGTGCATGCAACAAATTACTGTAAATTCAGAAATTATTGCATGCATTTATTATTGCGATTTTGTCATTTTAGACTTAATTGCGATTTTAATTTTTACGATTGTGAGAAAAATCATGTTTAATTCATATAAAATATTTCAAAATGCGAGTTTAAATTATTGCGTTTACAACTCTGTCGCATTTTTCGCAATAATAAAAACCTCGCAATAATTTCTGAATTTACAGTATGCATCATTCAATGTACATCTACATTTTTTATAATCTGTTTTTTAATTGGCTTAAAAACTTTAGTCACGTGGTCTTGTCAGTAGCTTTCATAATGTATGAAAACAGGTTACTATCTTGAAGCATGTGTTGCCAGTGGTACATGGTAAAAAACAGTAAAATCTGTTAGAATTCAATCAATATATATTGTAGAATAGCTGTAAATTCACTCTATAATTGTAAATTCTATATGCTGCCTTGTACACAACATCAACTGGGTTTAAAAGAAGCAATACTACTGACTTTGTCATATATAGGGTGTAATGCATAGAAAGTGAAAATTATTTCTGGAAAAATAACTATGTAGGTATGTCAATCCCAGATAAGTGAGAAATAATCTATACTAATATATTAGTACTAGCATCCTTGAAAATCAAAACGTTTACTTCTTTTTTCAAAATTTCACAGGTTTTGTTAAAAAAATCAAAACATTTACATCTATTTTTGAATGGTTTCACATGTTTTGTTTGGAAATCAAAATATTTACATCTTTTATTTTGAATTATTTCAAAAGGTTTAATTTTTTCTTAAGTGACATCATCAAATAGTCTATTGGTAAGTTGGAAGTACTTGCCATCACAAAATTTGATTTTATAACCACTTTTATTTTTGATATAGTATTTAGTATTAATACTGCCATATCATGTGTTTTAATAATTAAACATTCAGGCATACCGAGCAGTTAGGTGTAAATTCGATCCATTTATATTTGTATAAAAAAAATCTTTTTCAAATGGTTTTTTTTTTTTTATAAAACTGCCATTTTCAAAGATGCTATGAAAAGATCCAAAATCACTTCAGGCAGAGGCAGGGTAACATTGCAGGATCAATATACAAGATTCAGAGGTGAAATAAAATTTTACCACACTCCTCCCCATTTTTTTTTTTATTTAGAGAGATGATTTAAGAAAAAATGTGAAAAGAACAAACAAAATATAGCATGTGCCAGTTTCAAACCAAGCAAATTTCACTAAAACAACAATATAAATATAACGGTAGGGTCAAATTTACTCAACTGCTAATACAAAACTTGGAAAGAACGATAACGGACTACATGAATATGAAATGTTTCTATGATTTTACAAAAAGATTTAAACAAATTTCTAATTTTCAGCGATCAGAATGATTTACATCAGGTGGTTTTTAACCATTTGTACATATGTAATTCTTACACCAACAATCACTAGTTACGTACAAGACGATCTTTGTTCTAGATCTGGTGGAATGGAATGTGAGATGAAGATTTTACATACCGAACTTTTTCAAAATAAGAAGATGAACAAATTTATCCCACACAAAAGGAAAAAGACATGGAAATCCTTACGAAGGAATGAAGACCTCTAACTGAACTACTATGACCTCTGACCTCTACCAAATGCCTGAAGTGACTTGGACCATGTTAGTGGCCCAAAGATGGCCTGTGAACTAACCTGCTAAACAAGTCCTTTAGCTCCTGCTCTGATGAAAATTGACCAAGATTGGCCACAAAGAGCGTGGAGCACGGTGCATTTTGCTGCATCAGTGGCGAACTCGACGTCGAGGGGGTGCTCATCGTGCTAATTGGGCTAGTTAAAATAGGCGTGGCTGCTAATGGCGGATGTGGCAAGGCAGCTGATACGGCCGTAGGGGGTGCTACAACTGCTGGGTGATGTATCTGTTAATAAACATAGACCCGTGATTCCAGTGATCATGTGATAAGTGGTTCTATAAATAGATATGTTAATGATCTGTGCCTGTTACAGCTGTTTCCAATTTGTTGGTACCAGTTTAGCTCAAATGTTTTAATATCAAGTTCTTTTTTTCTAATTCAAAATCATAAATAAATGATTTTATTCACACTTTAAATTTCTATTTTCACCAAATTTTTTATTTTGAATTATTTTATTGTTTTATTTTTTTTAAATCTTTACCAATTCAGCTCAAGTACATAAACATTAAGAGCATAAAAATGAATAAATTATACCAAGATTATGAAATCAGCTGTAAGCAAACCCACTGCTACAAAGATGCAATAGGATAAAGCACAGAGAAGAGAATTGATTTCTTTTGAAAAACTACTAATATCAAACAATTACAATGAATCAATTTCCTCTTATTTCATATGACAAAAATTGTCACGTGAAATTATATAATACTTCATTTTTTAAAAATTTGTCAGTGAACCTCTGGTTGTAAAATGTAAAATATCTAAACATTACCTTTTTCAATTAAATTTTATACAGTTGGATGCAAAGTACTTGTATCAGACATTTTTTTCCATGACCAAAAGAAAAGACTAGAACAAATGTACTCAATCATTAAGTAAATTTACAAAGTACTTGCATAAGTAATTTAGTTCATTCTATATAAATTGTTCTTTTTTTGTGTTTATTTATATTTTGTTGTTCCAAAAAGATTTTTTTTTCCATAATTTTTCGCTTAAATTAGCTTGATCCATGGTAATATTTAGATATATATACATTTTGAAATTGACATTGATAGCAGACAACAGCTGACTAGTGTTAAACATGCTGTTAATTTCAAGTAGTTCTGTAATTGGTTGTTCATGCAATCTGTAAAAGTTCAAAGTTCATGCTGAAACTATGGAAACATGCCATGAAATTTTACTCAAACAACTTTGACTTTCTCCTTCCTGTTAGAAACAATCTTAAAGGTCAGTTAGAGTTATCTTCCCTTGAAACATAAATTTAAGTAACTGGACACCTGCAGTTAAATTAAAGGATTGAAACATAAAAAAAAAACCACCAGATATTATGAAATTTCTTGAATTCAACAGTAAAATGATATTATTTTTTTTTTCTATCATCATTATTTAATACAAATATTCCCAATTAAAGGAAACACTTATAGAACCGACTGTGCGAGACCCTCATGGGTAGTCAAGGTCCATGAACACCCCCCTAGTTGTAGCATTTGACAAAGAAGTTGGCCTTTACCAGAAGACAGACAAGAAAATAAGGACCATTCACAAAATAAATTATCATTTTGTCATTCAAAAATTATGTAGCCATGTCATGTTTGAAATAATTTCACTGTCATGGGAGAGAATAGGAACAACATACAAAGCAAAGATCTCTTACCAAAATAATACATGAATAAAAGCAAGAATTGCAACTGCACAAAAAGGCTTGAATAAAAGCCAGATTGCAACTGAACAATGCATGCAACAGAAAACTAACAAGAGGACAAAATAAAGCATTTGTTTATAATAATCAAACATGAAAATGATGGTAATTTTAAAATTGTCATTTCATTTGAAAACTTCTTCATATTAGATTTGCCCTCTTAAAAAGTATCAAATAATTTTGAGTATCAAAACATTAAAATTCAAGATTTAACAGCAGAAATATATGTAATATAAATGTATTTGAATTACTTCAATTTTAAATCAGGAATTTCTTGAAGACAAACGAAATAGAAATGTTCATAATGTTCCAAATCAAACTTAAAAGTCAGAAGAAATCTCTGATTAATTGAATTTGGAAAATCATTAAAGTGTGACTTCTGAAAATTAAATGAATGAAAATACCACCAAATTGCAAGTTTGAAAAGCTGCTTCTGTGAATAATAACAGTGAAATTATTTCATACACTGATTTGTGAATTACTTAATTTTATTTTCATAGCTTGATGAACAAAAAGTTATTTTCATTTCTCAAACAACCCCCTCAACCTAAGGAAAAAAAAAAAAATATTAGCTCTTGGAAGTTTTACTGCTGGCCCTATAAATTTGTGTCGGATCCGTCTTTTCGTCCTTATAAAACAAAAGATCGAAAGGTCGACAAAAAGTTACACACAGTATAAAAATGCCATTGATATTCATCATCTGATTAAAGTTAGAAGGAACTTTTTCAGCTCTAGATGACAGAGCTTTTAATCATTTGTTAAATTTTATGAATTTTAAGAGCCTGTAGTTCAATGGTTGTCATTGGTTCATGTCTGTCATATATGTTCATTTTGTGAATTGTATTTTTAAAATAAGGTTGTTCAGTTTTTTCATTTGAATTGCTTTATATTTTTCATGTCAGGGCCTTTTATATCTGGGCCTTTTATATCAGACTATATGGTATGAGATTTTCTCATCATTGATAATCGTATGGTGACCTATGATAGCTTATATCTATGTCATTTGGTTTCTGGTGGAGAGTTGTCATTGACATTCATACCACATCTGCTTATTTTTATATTTGGACCAGACTGAAAAATTGCTGACATATGTCTAATGTTGAAGACCAAATGTTGCCTTTTGGGCATTTTTGTCATTGGGTTCCTGTCTCATTGACATCCTTTTTATATCCTTTTGCCTGAAAATGTTTTGTTTGTTATATCCTCACACATGCTCTATCGTGCCAAATGTGTCCTTGTTTTAAAACAGGAAGGTAATTGGGTCCTGGTTTAAAAACAGGAAGGTAATTATATCCTCACACATGTTCTATCGTGCAAAATGTGTCCTTGTTTTAAAACAGGAAGGTAATTTGGTCCTGGTTTTAAAACAGAAAGGTAATTGGGTCCTGGTTTAAAAACAGGAAGGTGGTCCTGGTTTTTAAACAGGAAGGCATCATTTACAGAAATAGATTCTGGTCTTTTTCATCTTAAAAAGCAAATTGCTTAAATTACAATCAGTTGCATTTCATGTAACATTTAATCAGAAATAACAATGGTATATTTTTACTGCTTGTAGACTTAAACGATATATAAAATTATTTCAATAATATACAATAACCAAAACTAAAATCATTATTTGGTAAAAACTTTTAAAATGTATTTAAACCATAAAAATGAATACAAGTCAAAAATGGAATTTTGATATATTTTTTTCATCAAGCTATTGTGCATTAAATGAGGAGATTTTCTTTTACCTGTGGAAAATGTGTAATCCATTCCTAAAAATGTTCAAATAAGGAAATATTGTAAATGGGCTGGCATAAATATTATATATTTTTGCATTTTAGTCAGTAATGGTAGTAAAATAATGTTTTCTTTTTTCTTAATTTTCCTGACACCCAGAAGTTGCATGATGCAATAAAGATTAGATAAAATGGAAAATAAATACTGTTTGAAACACAGAACAAAATGAAAAACTCATTCGCATATAAACTTCAACCATCATCTTTCTTTTTTTTTTATGTCCTCAACTTTTGTTGCTGTCAGCTTAGCTTTCAAAATTCTCACTTTTGTTTTGACAGAAAATGTGTTATACTTAATATGAACATGAGCATATCATTGCATAAAACTAACACCCTTCAAAATGAATGAAATTCTTTTCAGTTGTATTTGCTTCCCCCCTTTTTTTCTGTTTACATTAGGAATGCAAATAAGATGGCAGCACCTTTGTGCAAGAAGTGTGGAATTGTTTTTCATTTTTAAACATGTTACTAAAATTTACGCTGGAAATTCCAATATACATCCGATAAAACTATATATGTGTCATGCAATCATTTAATTAACTGTTAATAAATAGAGGCACTGTTAACTGTTAATGGTTGTTAAATTTACCTGTGGAAAGTGGTGTATCCATTCCTGGAAATTAAAAATAGTACACAAATTAAGCAGTGGGCAAATAAAGTGAACAGCCAATCAAAAATAGTGTTTTATATCAATCAATCAATCATGGTTTGAATCAGCAAATCAGAACTTGTGTTTCAACTAGGCAATAAATGTGTGTTTCAATTAAACAAAATTATTCAAAAATAATGGACAACATTATGAACCCTTTTTATTTCAATCAAATAAATCAATACACACAGTGTTTTTGTGAGAAGTATTTTCTGCACTAACTAAAAATGAGTTTATATCAGTGATATCATGTAGTGAACTAGTTTCACTAATAGCTGGACATTGTAAATTTTGTAAGACTGAAACATGTAAAAAAAAAAAATTCTAGAGTCCCTGCTAGAAACATTTTTCTAAGCCTTCTGCATTCATTTGTCATTTGGACACAACGTCATAAGACATAATGTTGTTTGTGTGACCTTTTACCTCCTAACTGACAACACAGCCTAACTCCTCTAGTAATGGAAAAATAAAATTCATATCAAAGATCTGATATTACAAAAGGTGAAGTAAAATTTTGCAGTAGAGTTTTTTCCAATGGGTACAACAATTGTAAAAAAAATATAACTAAAGGATAATTCTGATTCTTACAATGTCTAAATTAGTTTTTAATGTGGACCAGAAATACAGAATATTTTTCTCTCCCTCTTTTTTAAACAATTATATATTTTGAATTGGTGCAGATCTGTTCATATTAAGTCTATCTAACATGTAAATTAGGTGACAATTTACATTATTGCCGGCCACTGCTATTTTGTTTTTCAGTGTTTCAGAGTATGGTACCACGGTATATGGGTTTACATGCTAAAGAAGAGACAACCTACACCAAATCTAATATGTATGTTCTTAGTAGGTATTAATCAGCGACCAAAAAATTTGTACACACATTCTACAAATTTTAAACAGAAAATCAACGACAATAGATTACAATTAGATTCTACAAAAGTTTTTTTTCAATGATCAACCCATTAACTTGTGAGTTGCAAATTTTGTGACCATTGTATATAACTTGCAAAATATTTTTTTTCATATTAAATTGAAATATTTTAACCCTTATAACAGATTGAAAAATACAGTTACTTTCATCATAATACAACAGCCATACTACAGAAACAATGTCACAATATTAATACGGCAAATTAGAATTATTTCATATTTAAAAAAGTATAAATATTTTCTCCATTATACTATAAATGTATATTTATATATTATATATTACATAGTATAGCGACTGTGTATTGCAAATGGCCAGTGTCACCTTTTTATACCTCCCAGACAAAAACTTATCAGAACAAAAGCAGACTAGAAAAAGGAAGCCGAAGAAAATGTCTGATCAAAGTTTGTTCTCTGCTGTCTCTGCCCACTCTTTGAAAAGCAAAGATCCACAACTACAGAGTTGATAAATCTTATGGAACAACACACAAAGTAAGGATCTTAGTGGATTCTTTATTTGATCATATATCCTAAGGACAGAGTAGGTGACAGATGGAACAAGGTCACAGTGTAGAAATGATAGCATATCCTTTGGTCGAGGAGGCAGAATCAGAGAAAGAAACCTTTATTTCTCACTACTGTGGAATTTTGTTAGAACTGCTTTATTTTTGTACACAGTATAGACTTAAAATTGGACAAATTTACTAGCATTGATGAAATGTCCTTTCTAATCTTTCTGATCTATTTTTTGGTCTAATTTCTTATACTAGCTACCCAGTCTATGAAAGATCTATTCCACAACATTGAGATATAAAAAGATTAAAGATGGAAGAAGCCAAAACTTGAAATCAAGGTCACCTTGGATTATGGTCCCCTTTTTTTTAAAATCCTGAACATCAAATTTTTCTAAAACCTTATACAATAGAACTATAGAATTGTAAAAAACTTTACCATTATTTACCCAAGCCATTAGAAATCTGTCATTTTTACCTACATACACATACACATAAAACACACTATCACATTTGCAATACACAGTCAAAATACAAACACACCACACATGTTCCAATTATCACATCGTGCAAAACAAAACTGTACATTAGACAATGATAATCCTGGTTATAACATTAAGAACAATATCCAACATCATCTAACTTTTATCCATATTACAACACAAACGATTCATGTGTTCACCATTATTTTTATTTTGCAAGGGGTAAATTTTATATGAGTTGTTGGGAAGAGCTTAAAAAAAGACAAATGAAATTCAAAATTACTTGTTGAAATCTTGACCTAATCAGGTTACATGACAAATTTTGACATCAACATGGAAAATTTTATATAAATACGCAAATTTCATTCAATATAAAGAGATAATTTTTCACAAAAACTTAGAAGTATCTTAATTTCAACACAATAATGTATCCATCCCTTCAAGAGATAAAAATGCATACAATTTGCACTAATAAACAAATAATTCCTAAATAGGGAAAAATCACTGAAATTTTTTCTCTTACATGGTTGAAAACAAGGATGTATCATATTTACTCTCAAATTCACCCTGTTATCCTGTGCATAACCTCAGCAAGTCTTGATAGTTTTCCTTACTTTCTTCAAATTATTGCCATGACAAATCAAAACCAATGTTATGGTTTTTGGTGTTACCTCTGTGATTGAAATCTGTTGTGACACCAACATTCCAAAACATGTTAATTTTTCAATCATGTGATATAAAACGTTTGTTACCATGGTGATATGTGACTAGTTTTGCACGAGTGCGATAAATGGAAATAAATGATAACTAACCCGTACCGGAACTTGTGCTAAGGCTGGGTGCTGGATGAGTGCTGTGTGGTGGATAGCTGCAGCATTCGGATTTAACTCAGGATAGGCGGCCAATGGGTGTGGCGCCCACGCCTCAGGAGCACCTGGGATAAAGGCAGCACCTAACTCTTCTGTAAAGTGAGGGAGAAAAGAAACACGCACACGTGAATATGCTAGTATGTGTCAGTAAGTACCCTACTACCGTCAAATAAAATGTTACCGCAACCCAGGCATTTGTGACTGTATTGTATTAAAAATTGTCGTCTGCAACTAATCAAATGACATGTATTGCTGTATGATTTAAATAACTGTCGAAAAAAACTAAATTCATGACATGTGACTAGTAGCAGAGTTTTGATTGGCTCATAGAATGGGGTGATAATCTATATTTATATGAAATGCAGTGACTTAGAAAATAATTTATAAAATTCTATTAAAAGTTGTCTAAAGCTCATTTGCATGCTATTGTGAAATTTATAAGAAAAGTGCTGGATTAGAAAATAATTTAACAAATATTAACTTGTATCCATAGCAACAAGTGTCTAAAATGGCCTCTTACATCATCCCCATTCTAAAGAGAATTTATGTTCATTTGTAGCAACCTGAAAAGTAAGAAAATATATTCCTTATGTAAAACTTATCCATTTTATCTCTTCTCGGAAAAAGTACCAAAATTTACTGTACAAAAATAAGACACTCTTCTTGAAAAAGCTCTCTTTCATGTGAAATTGTGGTACTTTGTCAAGAATCTTGTTCAAGTGAAAAATGTCTGCCATTTATTTTACCCACAATCCTCTGGTCTTCACAGCATTCTGTCACCTGCTGTTTTAATGGTGTTGTGCATCACATATAAAACTTCAAAAACCTTCCTGGTCATGAAATACTTGTAAAAATCAGTTCAATCAAATAATTATCAATCTAATAATTTATTTTCTCCTTAATTATCAAATGTTTTCAAAAATTTCTCTACTTGAGATCAAAGGTTTAAAATCAAAATTGACCATCCATACATGGATAACTGGTCACTTACTTTTAATCAAAACTTCCAAGTTTACATGTATTTTCATGACCAGACAGAAATGGCAGACAAAATGGTTAAGAATGACACAGATGAAACTTAACTTAAACTATAAGCTATCACAAGAATTAGGGGCAAGAACCCTCAATTAAAATTCAGACCTACCAACATGCTTGATTCATGGGGGATTTCCATGACATCCTCAATTATAGCAACTAAATACCTCAAAGCAGGCATTCAAAGAAATTAAAATGACATTTTAGAATATATATATATATATATTATCTCAAAACCATAAAATATAAGATTAAAAAATACTTATGACATATATAAGTGTTGCATTAGGTTCTTGTATGCCAAAAATCCCCCATGGAGATTTTGAAAAGTTGGTAGATATGATTAAGTAAATACATAACAAGGTATATTTCAGAGAATTCTGTGTCAATCTTATTTAAGAAATCTCCCTGTAGCTCCCTCTATCTACTAGGAGAATCTCCGTGTACCTGATTTATATGGTAATAAAGTTTAAATACATCAATTTAATCAATTTAACTGCATAGAAATATTAACATTGCCTAGCTGTATGATATCATTTAAACTTCTTTATACATAATACAGAAATTTCTCCTTTGAATTTATCAACTTTATTAATATGATAAAGACGTCATTTATCTTATTTAATAATTGCTAAAATTATGTAATCTCTCTTTTTTATGCGAGTATTGATGATATCTGTTGTATTGTGTTCGTTCTGAAGCAGCAAGTATACATTTATCAAGTATAAAGTTATCCAAAACTCTAGTCCATAATATAAAACTTGTAAATCATATAAATGTTTATCGAAAAAAAGCCTTTCAAAATTTCAACGCATTCTTTTGATGTAAACATAGTCATGACCTGACTGGGTGTAAATAAACACACCTTGACAAAAAAAAACTTCACGATTTTTACATCCTTCCATTTATTTGAAATTATCTAACCGCTTAACAATTTTATATTGCCATTTTTTGAAAGCCAACTATCAATCATGTTATTATTGAAATAAATCTATTGGATCTTTTTACTGCCAAATTTGTGTAGGAGTTAATTTTTAGTTTTGAACAATTAAGCAATTAAATAGCAGTAAACCATGAAAATTAAGTAGGAGAGAAAAACTTGCTATCAACAAAACATGAATAATCATCTTTCCTTTATTGCTGCATATTATATTGTTTTCTTACATAATTTTAGCAATTATGATTTATTTGTTATAAATAAATATATTTGTAACATTGGAAAACATCCTTATATTTTGAAGCACCATAAAAGCCCCTTACACGCCACACATTATATCTTACCGACAGTCAAAGCTCGTCCAGTTAACGATTCAGACATAGATCCCCCGCCTCAAAATATATATTACAATGTTATCTAATTTCACCAAGTAAAAAAAAAAAAAAACTATTTACATTTATGCAAGTATAATTGATATAATTTCTCCACTTTCGTAATCAACTCTAGAAATTCATGCAATATCTGTAATTTTACCAAAAGGAGGACCATTTAGATTTTTAGAAGTGTATATAAAATTTGAAAGCAAAATTGTATGGAGGTTTATAATCAGATCAAATTATCAACTCAAAGACTTAAATCAGTATTATATTTTTCAAGAAAACAATGTCTTCCAGATATGATAATTCTTAATAATTAACAATTAATTTGACTCTTTCTTCCATTCTTTAAATATATGCATAAAAGATATGCATTCACATATTTTTTTTACAGTCTTCCTTTCAATTTTATCTATCACTCAGATTGATTTCATTTTTATATTTTTTTCAATTGTTCTTTTCTGAATACTGTGGATTCATTATCATTCGTGGAATACCAACTTTCGTGGATTCATTATCATTCGTAGAATACCAACTTTCGTGGATTCATTATCATTCGTGGAATACCAACTTTCGTGGATTCATTATCATTCGTGGAATACCAACTTTCGTGGATTCATTATCATTCGTGGAATACCAACTTTCGTGGATTCATTATCATTCGTGGAATAACAACTTTCGTGGATTCATTATCATTCGTGGAATACCAACTTTTGTGGATTCATTAACATTCGTGGAATACCAACTTTCGTGGATTCATTATCATTCGTGGAATACCAACTTTCGCGGATTCATTATCATTTGTGAAAAACCAACTTTTGTGGATTCATTACCATTCATGGAATACCAACTTTTCATGGATTTCATGGGTATTTTATAAGTGAACCATGAATTTAAATTTTCAGCAATGTATAAATTTTCTATAGGCTAGTATGCTGACTTTAGCAAAACCACAAAATCAAGTATCTGAAAAAAGTATAAGTTTTCCTCAATCCATGAAAATTGGTACCTACAAAAAATAAATGAATCCTCAGTATATAAAATCTAATCTTCTTCCGAAACATGAGTACTTACGACCAGTGAGAGGATGTATAAACGTGGGAAGTGTTGCCGCTGGCTGGGGACTTTGTTGTTTTGGCTTTGTGACTTTAGTATTACTCTTGGCAAACTCTAATCTCAGAGTCTGTGGTAGGTCAGGGTCAAATCTAACACCCTGAAATCAAAATATTCAATTATCATTTTTTGTTATTTTACAATTCCATCAACATTATGCAGCAATGCTGTGAAGATAACACATTTTCAGTCCTCCTTCCAAAAGTTACAATGAAAAACTTGAAAATTGTGTATGCCAAGTTTACATTTAGGAATTTTGCTAAGCTTCCTGTATAAGATGACTGCAATGTAAAGTCACATACATCGCATTTATGCAAATACAGATCACAGTATGGCATTCAACAAGTGTGCTTTATTATCTGGCTAAATAAATGTAATTATCATCGAGATTGTAACTTATAGCAATACATTAGCAGACACCAATTATTACTATATGTGGACCAGTTTAGATCATATCTAAATATAAATGTTATCTAAATTTAACTTGAAAATGATTTGTTAATTAAGGAAATTACAAAACATGATATATAACTGTTATATTTTTTCTACCGCATCTTTTGAAGATATACCATTAAATAAAATCAAAAAAACACATTTATGAAGCAGAATTTTTATTGGTGAAGTCGATTTCAAATCAATATTGCAACTTCAGAAATACTTCAGATGTTTTATTACAGAAAAACATGCAATTGGATAAGCCTTGCATCAAAAGAACAAATTTGTTTTATTCTTGAGGCATAATTTGGATGCAGTATTTCCAGAAAACACATTTATCAATCTCTTGTGTTTGTATGTTCATCAAAAATGGTAAAAAACATATGTTTTCTGTTATGGGAAAAAATATTTTGCAACATTTTCAATGGATACAATAGAGTTACAATATCATAAAACATAGTTACATGTTGTGTTTGTTTATACTGTACTTATTTACAATAAAGAAGTGTGAGTTGCCACCAGGAACTTTTCTGTAGAAAATTGCACTTCGATAGATTGGAAAACAGCAATTTATCACCATGTTTCTTTTGTACTGTATAAAATCGTTTGCCTCTAAGGAAGAAATAAGATTTAAAGACTTCCCCCCAAAATTACGTATAAAACACAAACATACGCAATTTCCACTGAAACAAAGATTGTAGTGCTAATACTACTTCCTCTGTCTGGAACTAAGTTTGAAATTTAATTTTATACATCTCTCAGCTATGTAATTTTTTTATATAAATTTTGTCGAGCAGTTGATATCAGCTGCTCTCACTAATTGATGAACATCGGAAAATAAATGATTTCTTACTTGTAAATCTTGCTTGGCTACTTCTGCAGCTGCTCGGGAACTAAATGTTACAAATCCTACAGGCTACAAAGACAAAAAAACACAATTTTATATTAAACACATAAAGTACATAAATTATTATCCATCTTTAATGGTACAATCTAAAGTACTGTAAATTTATTGCAAAATTTGCGATGGAAAGGTTTTGCGTAAATAAGAAGTCATTTTAAATTTTGAAAGCATTATATGCATGCATGAGCCTTTTCTGAAATAACAATAAATAATCTCTCTTTTTGTCTCTTGATCAACAATTGCAATAAATGCACACAAAAATTTATAAATTTACGTTATCTTAGAAAATGTTTTTACTGTAGATTCATAGTACATGTATCTTAGAAAATGTTTTTACTGTAAGATTCATAGTACATGTATCTTAGAAAATGTTTTTACTGTAAGATTCATTGCACATGTATCTTAGAAAATGTTTTTACTGTAGATTCATAGCACATGTATCTTACAGAATGTTTTTACTGTAGATTCATAGTACATGTATCTTACAGAATGTTTTTACTGTAGATTCATAGTACATGTATCTTACAGAATGTTTTTACTGTAGATTCATAGTACATGTATTTTACAGAATATTTTTACTGTAGATTCATAGTACATGTATCTTACAGAATGTTTTTACTGAAGATTCATAGTACATGTATCTTACAGAATGTTTTTAATGTAGATTCATTTGAATTTATAGGGTACTTATTGTAATCAATTTGTGGGTAAAATATTAAGTGTTAATGAATTTTAATTTACAAATTCTCATAGGGTTGTAGGAGAATTTCCCCAATCCATGAAAACTGGTACCCAATATAAATGAATCCACAGTACTTATATATTTTACATATGTTGCAATCGTATTTTTTTTTTAAATACTCTTTTTTAACTTTACGTAGCACAACTTTATTTCTAGAATTTCAGTTCTGAACCTCTATATCTTAAATTCAAGTCTTGAAAATGTCTCAACTAACAATTATTTTCTTCTTTTCTTTTCGAATTCTTTAATTCGGTAATATTTAGTTTTACAAATAGATGCGTTATTTTAATGTGTTGATAAAACCCCTATTGTATATTTTAAAGCCTTAACTGAAAAAATACTGAAGTTTTTCAAGTCTTCTCTTCCAATGTCACTGGCTCAGTATTTCAGTTGATTACAAAGCAGGGTATATTCCTATCACAGAATCAATTTAAAAGGTCATGAATATGCATGCAACATTTGAAGCTGACTGTTAATCAATCAATCAATCATTAGATACACTCCTACTCTTTTTGTGTTTTCAAAGACAACAAATGGCATTCAATTTATTCTCCGAATCATACTCAATCTATTTCCATGTGGTGCTCCTACTATATGAGCAATCAATACACAACAATATACAGTACTTACTGAGGTATTTTTGCCGTTTTTGTTTGTGACCTTTAATAACGAACCTTCATAACCCTGTAAAAAACATAATGTGAAACATACAAGCAACGTGAGCTGTGAGCTTTAATCATGTGACATTAATACTTGCAGGCTATTGGTTATTGTTAGTTACTATTCAGATCTCTTTATTACTTATATATATGAAGCATAAATGTCATAGTAGACAGCAACCCAAAAACTACAACAAAATCTTAAGCTTGGAAGTTGGTGGCAATTTCCATTACTATTGGGCATTTTTAAAGCATTTCATTTTTTAAAACCCTTTACATTTCCAGTATAATGGACCAGGACTCTGGAATAATTTGTCAAACCATTTTTGGAACAACCATAAGGATCAATCTGAAGGAAATTGACATATACGATGTCCCATTACCACTCTCAAGAAAGAGGAGGATTCATTTTGTATATCTTATAGATAAATGCCCAAATCAAAGCTAGTGACTTTTTCAGAACAAAATCATAGCATAAGCCAATACAAAACAGGTAAAACTGAATTAGGAATTAGAATTATATATATAATGGCCTTATTTTGACAATAAATTGGCTGTAATTTTAATGAATTTTCTTAAGTGGAGGCATCAGGTGCACCCTGTCTACAAAAGTACTACAGATTAATGCATCACTTAAAACTGAAGTTTTCACCAAGATGTTGAAATACACAATCATATATAATATAAGCAATAAAAAGAAGCTGAATAGCCAATAGCCTGCACTATAGCTAAAATCAGGGTCAAGGTCAAATTTGCAAATGTCAAAGTACAGAAAGGTCACTACCTATGAATGTACTTTTATTGACAAATATGACATGACAAATTTCAGCATAAAATGATATGTTAATTTACAAATAATGTGTTAGTCATAATGTGATGTGCAATGCCCAAGATGTTAGTCTGCAAATGTCATTCTACAAAAAAAATATACACATGCCACTGTTAATGGTGAAAATTATGAACAATAACATTTTTGGTGAATTAACGGACAGACATGTAATAAAATTGTGTTAATTTTTATTGTATTAACGCTGCAATGGTGAAACACTATGGTGATGGTGAAAAATAACATAATTCTGACACATAAACTTTCACCATGTGGTGACCATGGTGACCAACTTACACTGTTATTTTTGCCAGGTTTACCCATCACCTTTAGTAAAGCATTTTCATAACCCTGAAATCAGTAAAATGTTTCCAACCTATAGCATTGAGGTATATTTAGTAAAGCATTAGATTAACACTGAACACAAACAATTATTTTTTAACCAAATCTCAAACAGGTCCAGAAGGTGAACATATACAGGTTTGACTGTATAATATTTCTAAATTCCATTTGTGAACCTTTTGACCAAACACAGCAACGATTGCAACCACTACCAAAATTCAAATTTGAATCAAAATTCCATCATCCATATTAGTTACATATCACCATGATAATTTTCTATAACAATATTCATATTCAAAAAGTGAAAAAGAGAATGGAAACTAAAATAAAAGAATGAAATGCCTGCAGTGTGTATATGGTGTCCTTAATAGTAATTTAAACATTATTTAGTGTATTATATCTATAAAGTTTTCAATACTTCTCACTGAAGTCAAATATCTCTATTCTATAAGGTATAAATAGCTACATTTTACGAGTTAATACATTTTAATGTTAAACTCTTGATAAGCTTGAATTTCATACTTTTCATGCTAAACTCAAAATAATTACAGTAACAATTGCTTCACGCCACCTAAATTATGATTTAAGAATATAATTTCAGATTCTATTTGTGACACCTTATACACAGGATGGCAATAATCTAAGACTGAATTCAATTAAACTTAATATAATCTGGCTCAGGGGAATAAAAGCAGGAACTAAGGAAATTATTAGGATTATCAGATTAGGTTAAAAGAAAGAATTATTTCTGCAGACATTGCGAGAATGAAAATCAGGCTTTTATTCACAAGCTCAAAAATTAAGAAAACGCTATCTCATAAATATTGTGTCATTAACAGTAATTTTTTGGTAAAATTAGAATATTATGCAATAATGTTGTTTTTGCTTCACGCTCTTTCTACCGATTCTTAACCGTTTAAATTACAATGAAGCAAAAATCGTCACTTTACGTAATCTCTGATGATAACATGCAGAAGATAACTTACTTAAATTCTAATATTATTACAATTTCATGATTTGTCAATTCACTGGTGGATTTACCAGCCAAGTTAACCGTTCAAGTTTAAAGAAAATTTCTAAATCTTTTTTTGCTTTTTTGACACGTATGGCATGTTTTCTTCTGTAGGCGATTTCCTCTTGACGTAAATGACACTTCAATTTTAAAGTGAAGTTATCGTTTAAGTTGTAATTATAAACAATGATAACATTCTGTTGTAATTAGTAGCTCTGATGAATTACTGAATGGCTGCCGATCTGAGATTTTCCGTTGAGCATCAAGTGGGGAATATAGGTGTCAATTTACTCCAGCGTAATCTTAATTTATATTGTCTTTATGCTTTTCTGTTCTTGAAACTATTGCACACTTTGTCTTGTATTTCTTCCAATAAATCACTTTTATTGTGACGAGTGATTTTCTTCAAGTTAAATAAATCATGGAGATTATTCCGGGTTGAAATAGAATTTTTATTTTGTTTCTACTTGTTTCATGTTTTTTAAGTTGAATTAATGGAAACACACAAGTTTTTCTTACCCAAGTCAAATATAGCCTTAGCTGTTTTTGTCAAACTTTTCCGTTTTTATGGTTTTCATTGCTTTTCAACTTCGTTTTTGATTTGGTCTACAAACTGTTTTGATTAGAGCACCACCAATAAATCTTATGTACTAGCTGACAAAACGCATTTCTGGTGTACCAATTTATAAACCTGGTATATTAATGAGTTTTTTGTGGAGACATTTTGGTAAAAATCTTTTTGTCGAGACAAAAGTCTTACCTTGTAAGCTCTGAAGAGGAGATATAATTCTCTAGGCTTTGCATCCATAGGCAGACCACTCACAAATAGTGTTCGTACCTGAAAATACAAATAAATATATAGTTGATTGTTGCTTCCTTCAAAAAGCCAGTGGCAAATATCTCATGTATATTCAGGATGATAAATAAATGTTATAGTTCTATAAAAACAAATAAATTGTTGAAGTATCCAAATATATATGATCAAATTAAAGTTTATGGATTAACAAATACCAAAAGTGTGTTGTTTTTTTTATATTTAAAACATGTAGTTTAGTTTTCTCATTTGAATTGTTCCATATTTTTCATGTCAGGGCCTTTTATAGCCGACTATAGGGTATGGGTTTTTCTCATTGTTGAAGGCGGTACGGTTGTCTATAATTGCTTACATCCACTTTATTTGAATTTTGGTGGATAGTTCTCTCATTGGCAATCATACCTCATCTCTTTATTTTTATAAACAAGACCAAAATCTTTATTTTCTTCAAATTTATTATTTATTCATAACACAGTGACTTAAAAGCTACCAGATGTATTGCCTTAAAAAAAAGTAGAAATTAAGTTAGGATTAATTAAGATTTTATACAAATATAAATCTTTCAAATGTAAATTTGAGGCTTCTCGAAGTTTTGCTGGTGCAAACTGTCCATTGTTTATTTAACTCATCTTAGAACAGATTGACCCTTAATTATACCATATTTTTTCTAAATATCTAAATGATAGTGATTACGACATAATTACAGTACTATATTCCAATCATTATTGGTATCACAGATACGTATTTACAAATTCTTCCATTGACTTTAAATTAAACCATCATAACCCAGTATCCTATGATTAAACTTGATGCAGAGAAAGGTTAACTTAATTTCCTACCCTGAACAGGTCTATAATATTACCAATTTTGGACGGGAATGAGAGTTAATTCAGTCGTGTATATTAACGATAGAATTCTCTTACGGCAAGTTAAACTGCAGTAGGTTTACATTACAGAGTAAATGAGGATTAGTGTACCAGTGCAGACATGGAATCCACGTCATTTGGACTCTGGTTCATAGATCTGTAATTGGCAATCAATTTACCACATCTCCTAATTTTAATATAGTCATGTGTTGGGCTGTTGGATTATAAAAAGTCCATAAATATCATGGTCAATTGTATGGACATGCAAATTAACTATTCTTTTCCTTTACTTTTGAAAAATAAGTTCTGTCGATTAACAGGATTAAGGAAAAGATGTTATTTCTGATTCTCCTCAGCTTTGGAAAATGTCTGTTTTTCCTTTTTTGTATATTTTTGTGTTTTAATATTTATTCTTCATTAAATAAAATAAATAACATTTGTGTCAATCATACATTCCAGGACTCTAAGGGTCATCCCAGTAATCAACAATTTAATATTCTGTTTGGGGGAAATTTTCCAATTACACATCTCTATGCAACAAATTTGGTATAAACATTCATTAAAAGTACATGTGTTATATGTGTTATATCCATGCTAAAACTAAAAGTCAACAATTTCCTTCCAATAACTTTCCTGACATCGAGACATAAATGACAATAAATGATCTCCTGGGACAGTTTGGCTGAGAAATCACAGATATATATTGGTGTCTTAGTAACTGTCATTGGATAATGGAAATACATAGATATTTATCACGAACATTACCAATAAGGATAAATTTATGATCCTAAAAATCAAAAGTCAAATGCCGGTCAAGGTAATATTTATTAGTTGTTGCCAAAATTCAACACATCTTAAAGTTAGCTAAAAAAACTAGATAGAGACAATGACAAAAACAGATATTAGAATGCTCTTAATGTTTAGGTAAAATCTATGTTGCCATGAGGCACATAAAAGCACAAAATAATAAGGAAAATAAATGGAGAATGTGTCCATGGGACACAGATGATGCCCCCGATTACATACAACGTTATAAAGGGGCATAACTCGAGAACGGTAAAAGTGATGCCACCCAAATTCAAACTTGATCTGTGTTTTATAACATTTGGTTATGGCAAACATAGAGAACAGAAACAAATTTTGGGAGGTACGGATGGACAAGGGCAACACCTAATGCCCCCTGTGGTGATGGCGGGGGCATAAAAATGGTCCATTGCATGGACAACTAGTGAATAGTACAAGAATATAACCATTAACACTGTTAAACAATACATTATAGACAGAAAATGGCAGACCATTATTTCAACCTATCTATGTCAAGAATTACTGAAAAGAATACATGGTCCCAATAACTTGATGACTGACTCGTAATATATATAAGTTTAATGGTATGAATAAGTATAAAAGTCTATGAAACAGCAACCCAACAATACAAAAAAAAAACATCTAAAGACATCAAGTTACATGTGTTGATTTATTAGCTATCAGTCTTTAAATAAGCTTTCATGGAATGAGAATTCATCTGACTAGAATTACAAGGAAATGTATAAGACTAGAGTATTTCTGCTGTAAAGTATTGAAGCCACAAATCTTTTACAAAGATCAATTTACACGAGTTGATTTTTTAGCTAACATTCTTTAAATAAGCTTTCACAGAATAAGAATACATCCGACTAGAATTACAATGAAATATGTATAAAACTGGAGCATTTCCGTGGTAAAGTATTGAAGCCACAAATCTTGTACGATGATCAAGTTACATGAGTTTCAGTATTCTGCAAGATTTCAAATTTCATCAGCTATCAGTCTTTTAATAGCCTTGTATGGAATTAGCATATATCAGATTCTAATTACAAGGAAATATGTATAAAACTGGAGCATTTCCGCTGTAGAGTATTGAAGCCACAAATCTTCGTACAATGATCAATGGCACTGTATACAAGACCTTCCATCATGATCTATCACTGTCCACTTTCTAAGATTGTATAGTTCTTGTCAAATAATGGCGACTATCATCAATTAAAGTGATCCATTATAAATCAAATATTTATTCTATCTGCTAAAACTTATTCAATAATATTTTTCTACAGATTACTTTCCTGTTTAGCAAAATAGATTGATATTGCTGATTGAAGATTGTGACCCATAAACTGACTTAGTTTGAAAAGTGACATGGCTTGAAATGTACATTAGTTTGACAAGCAAACTTCTGGTTGATATTTTCATTTACATTTCTTGTACAAGCTTCAAATAATACGAACATCAGATTCTACTAGTACAGTAGTTGAGTTTTGTGTAATACCAAGTTAACAGAAAGAACAAAAAAGAAACCCTAAAGTCTTAAATGGGAAAAACAATTGTTGTTTTCCGGGACAGATCCAGGATTTGATGTTTGGGGGAGCTCATGAGAACTAGGACGTAGATTACCTTATTTTAACACAAAAGTTGCTGTAATTTTACCTTTATTACTTTTTTTTAATCTTTTTTTAGGGGGGAACATGCCTGGTGTACCCCTGTCTCAGAATTTCCACTTGGGATTTCAGTATTTCCCAAATATAAAGTTAATTGTTTCTTTAATATAACATATACATAGTGCATTAAAACTCAATCACCTTTTAGATGCAGTCATCACCTTTTAGATGCAGTCATCACCTTTTAGATGCAGTCATCACCTTTTAGATGCAGTCATCACCTTCATCACTGACAACAGGTATATTTTTACCTGTAATTACTTCCTTTGATACACGACCTGCATTATGTTTACAAATCCACGGGGAATCTGAAGCCATTTTTTAATTCACAATTATAACTGTGAACAAATAAGCCTCTTAATATAAATACCATCTATATATGACCCATTAATCGATACGTGGCTCTGTCGAGGTTTATACACTTTCCAAGGATGATGGCGACAAAAGATCTATACATCCATGCCTGTCATGGGAAAATTAGATCTCTGTATGTTTGATGGTGTCGTATTTTATGATCTAATTCCGAATCATTTTCAGATCTTTTCAGATCGTAGTTATTCCATTTTGATTATTTGATTACATATGTTAATTTATGCGAAACATGTAATTAATTTGTCTGTCACTTATTTAATCAACCTTAATCTCAAATAGTGCTTACTGTGGATTAAATAGTATTTTCCTGGGGTACCAATTTTGATGGAGTAAGGGAAAATTGTGTATTTGTTAATATATGATTACGGTGGATTTGGTAAAGTGTACATATAAGTCTATATAAGATTGAAGCTTGTTAAACATTAAAGCCTTGGTTAATACCTTTCTTTACCCATGAAATCTGCAAAAATATGTACTCCACAAAATATACTAAATTAACAGTATTCAGAAACGAATGTGATATGGATAAAAGAGGCTGTGGGGTATATGTCGATGAGACAGCAAACAGACAAAGCAAAAAAACAAAAAAAACCTAGAAGTCAACATTCTTGTACAAATTTTATTATCTTAAGCTATAAGTCTAGAAAATTTGTAGAAGTTTGTTGGGGTGTGACATTAAAACAATTCTAACTAAACTGTTACACAGTTAATGAAAGCCTGCTCAAAGTTAAGTAAATCTGCTGATTATAGAAATGCCCAATCTAACACTTATGTTGTTGCCTCAGAAATAAATTATATGAACATCACAGATATCTGGCCAATACGGGAAATACATAAGATGGTAAAGTAGACGGTGAAATTTATGTTGAATAAAGGGAATGAAAAATAATATAATCTTCGTAAATAGTAAATTTTACTTTCAAGACATTTTTTAAAAAGAGTGATGCTTAAGAACTTTTTTAGATAAAAACAGGTAAAATAATAAAATATTCAGCATGCATTCTAATTCAACGAGTAATAATGAATCAGCAAATTTCAGTGGTCAAGATAAGAACTTTCCTGCAGGTCCACGACAAACTTGACCCATGTGCAACTTGAGCAATATGCCAGCTGATAACTTCATGTATTACACTATTTAAAGGATAAGTACATTAAAGAATGTTCCTGCCTACTTGATCAGTTGAACACAACATCATATTTCTATCCCAGAGTCCTCCAATCAGTTGATTCTACTCCCAGAGTCCTCCGTTTCTATAGATTTTATATAGATACGTGTTTGTTATGTTTTTTTATTCAAGTCTAAAGAATACTCAGA